AGTGGTTAACAAAATGAGCCTACTCCTTTGATTTCTTAGCAGCTTGGCTTAATGCGAAGATCTGTTCAGAGGTGTTTCCTCCTGACATGAAGCTACACTGCCTTTTTTGTATTGTAGAGGCACTTATTCCTCGGCACTTAGTTTCTAACACATTTGCATAAATGTTTCCGGAGGCTCATTGAAGTAATGCCTCAGTAATTCAAGCAGCGCGTTTGGAACCCCTTAATGAATCGCAGTACTGCTGCCTTAGTTTTCCAGTCCACCAGAATCTTCCTCTTAGTCATGGCAGTTTCACAGAACGTGTTTTCCACAAACGAGCAAACGTTTAAGCATCTTAAAGGATTTTATCCATTCCAGCAGCCTTCGATTTTTCAAACCTTTTACAGCATATGTGAAAGCATACTTCCGCTACCTAGTAATGTCAGGTGCCTACTGCGAGTCTTCCTGTGATTTCTCATGGTTAAGGTGCTTCTCGATGCAGGATATCATTATATGACTTTCAGGTACCTGAAAAAGCCTCGTCGCTCAACAGCAATGACATGTTCGTGCTAGAAACACCTCAAATAACGTATATGTGGCAAGGGAAAGGTTCCAGTGAGGAGGAAAGAAAACTTTGCAAAACGTTTGCCAAGAAAGTCACTGCAATAAAGTAAGGACTAGTGTTATTTTTAGGAACTAACGTGACGAATACGCATTTTGTTGAAGGAACATTAACTGACATAACGAGATTTTAAATTTACGTTTGACATATTTTGTTGATTCTCAGGCCGTTGTCAGGTAGGTGAAGTCGAGGTGCAATCGGTCGGCACCATGGCCATATGTCTCGCATGCTTTAGCATGACCACGAAAAAGCACCATGCTGTCCCTGTTACTCGCAGGTCAGCGATCCGCTATCTGTTTTTCGGCTGTTTGCTCCAAAACGCAGTGGCGTGATGTCCTTGCACAATGGAATTAGCAGTTAAGAAAAACTTACGCCACAAAGCATTGGAACCCGTTCCCCCTAACATAGCCCTACTTCATCTCGTTTGGCGTCCATCTTACTGATGAACGCTGATTCCAATTTTGTGCGATAAATGAACGTGTCATGCTATCGAGGTACTTAAATAAGTAAATTGAATGAATGGAAATTGAAACCGAATCTTTCAGATTTCTATTCCAGCTTTTCGTTGAGAGGGAGAAGTAATCAGTATAGGCTGAAATAAGATTAAATTTTAATTTTCGTAGCGGAACAACGGTATAGTATATGAGTGAGTTTTGACCAAGTTTTTCTGATTATTGATCAGATAGTTTGTTATTCCATCTGATCTCCGTTCCATAAATATCGAATTATACTGTCTGTTATATTTTGCTTTCTCTTGTTGGAAATCGTTATCGTTTTGATCAGGATGTCTATTCTGTCTGTAGGTTTTCGTTTTACATAGTTAAGTCAGTGATGCAATTTTCGGCCTACGTTTCTTTTACTAATGCTACACCGAACACGCGTCCTATTAACGTGTTTTGCGGATGGTTGATAGCGACACTACATTCATTTGATCATTTCTAAGGAGTTTTGTTTATTTGTGACCATTTCTGCACCGTTCACCTATTCTTGTATTCGTATATGTTGAGCTGGGTCTGGTATTTGTTTCTGCATAGTTGTGGAGGTTTCCTTTTGCTACTGCTTTATAGGCGTAATTCTATAACCTGTACTTTGGTGAGATTTCCTTATCCACTCACTTCTACCCATTTGAGTCAATTCTTGCACAAATGTTTTTTATGCGTCTCTCAGTTGGCTATTATGACTGAACTAAGATGAGGAAATACTGAGGCACTAGCCTCACTGACTCCTGGCTGATTTTCTTAGCATCTGCTTTGTAGCAC